ACATGATTCAGCAAGCGAGCTTATGTCCATGGTGCAAGGAGAATGGCTCAAATCCTCGAGGTCATTCACAGGTCACTAGGTTTCAGCTAGTTTGGTAATAATTACGTCTGCCGTAGCATACTATTCAGCCAAAAGTGTATTGTAAGCGAAGCAGTTATGGTAAGCACTGTCACATGGTTCAGCAAGCGAGCTTATGCGAATGCAATATAGAGATGCTGAGATAAAGTCCCCGACAGCGCCTTTCACTACGTACATGGATAACCATGACATCAGACTCATAGTTCAGATTGCGACACCTAGGAATTAAACTAGGCATTAAGGTTTGTTCACACTCCGTCAAAGTTTCGTACTGGCTACGGCTGTGTCTTATTTGAGTAGTAAGTCTCCTTGGCTGTTCCGAAATAGCGCTTTGGCTCAGGCCGAATTAAAGCCTCTCAGTTGTACTCCTCAGTTATTCCGCGATAGCGCTTTGGCTCAGGCTGAATGAAAGCCTCTCAGTTGGACTTGACGCGCCACGCAGGAGGGCGCTTCAACTGCTTGATGACGCCCTTGCCTGCAGGTCGCTTGCACGGATTGGCCCTTGAAGCTGGTCGTCGCCAAGCTGCTGCCATGAACCAACCGTTGTTGCGCTGTTTGACCTTGCCGTCCTTGCGCGGACGACCCGCGTGTGCTGGTGCCAATGTGGAGCACTTTGTCGCTATCTTCTCGTTGCCATCAATCACAACCTCTTGGATGGCCCTGCGCTCCGAGCGAGACAAATGACTACTTGCCCACCAACTACCATGCACGTCAAGGAAACCATTGCCAAGCGGATCCTCCAGGTCGATGGCGACGAACTTGGCAATCCTGTCTTTGGATCGTAAGCTAGCCCACATATCTGCTGCCTCCTGGAGAACGCAGACGTAGAGTTGGGCCGAAGCGAATTCCAAGCGCCAACGAGCGTGCTCATTGTCATCCCACAGAACCTCCTCCTGTGCCCACGCAATTGCACGCACACTCAGACCAGCTCGAAATTGCAATGCACCATGGTACTTCACGAACTTCATTGTGAAAGTGGTCTTGCTGTTGATGAACACAACATCATCTAGAGATGGCGCCCCAGTGAGGATGTTGAACTTCTGTCCCTGCTCCCACCGGTAGTTGTAGTGATGGTAGCAACGACAGTCCATGCTGCGACATCGCTTTGGCATGTGCTGGATGGTTGTGCATCCATCGAGGCCATATAGTCGTGCTTTGATCGGCCTGTCCTGCGGACAAACATGTGTGAGTTTCACTGAAAACTGCCAAGCACCGCCAACGTTGTAGCTGAGGCCCATACCTGAAGGTTGCACGTTGCGAACATTCAACTACACCATCTGTACATTTATGTCTTCGGAGCACTGTAACATATATCTACATATATGTATATATATATATAGACACACCATATATAAGCCGTGAAGAGGGATATACACTAACAAAAGAATAATAAGAAACGTTTAAATAGTGACGATATGGAAAAATACATCTATAGGACATCACGGATTTCGATTTTGTACAATCAGGGCATGCGCTACGCATAAAGAGTTATCCAACATGATAAAAGGTACGTTAATATACAAAGCAAACCCTGTGTATAGAACTACCTTAGCGCAAAAGAA